CAAAAATTGGAGGTGAGCAATTCCTCCTCCTGCTGCTTGGCATGGGAAGGAGGCACGAACCACCTGGAGGAGCACATGCCTTCAGCCTGCAACCCTCAGGCTGATCCCAGCAGCACCACAGTGCTGTAAAGCCAGGGAGCTGCAGGACCTGAGGCTTCAGAGCAGTGCTTTGGACATCAGCAGTGAATCCCTGGATGATGTCTCATGGATGTGGAGCCCTGAGGGCTTCCTGGCTTCTGGGCTGCTCCAGGGGAAGTTTAGGGCTTGCACAGCACTAGAGGGTGCTGCGGACTTGCAGCAGGCCCAGCAGCAGTGCAGGGCTCTGCCTCCACGCACTGCAGGACTGGTGCCCTGCTCACTGCCCAGCTTCCCTGCAATGTGGCTGTGCCAAATGGGGTTAAAACTGGGGGAACTGCACGGGGGTTAAGGAGGATTGATAATTCAGCGGTGGCTGCACTGACCTGCAGGAAGCTGATGGCTGTGGAGCAGGGTTGGGGCTGGTCAGACCCTATGAGCCCTCACTGCCAGCTCACCTCCCCAGGTGTGCGGATGCTGGATGGTCCCATCACGGACATCGTGGAGGCTCAGTCCCTCAGCCTGCGGCCGCAGCACATCCATATCTACAGTGCCAGCTGGGGCCCTCTGGATGATGGGAGGCACGTGGATGGGCCGGGTGTGCTGGCCATGAAAGCATTTCACAATGGGATCACAAAAGTAAGCACAGCACTCACGTCCTGTAGGTTTGCTGGCTCCGGACCTGAGCAGTAGTGTGCTGGTGCTGGTGCAGCAGGGATACTTTGGGTTCTCCAGCACAGAGCTGGATGGTGACAAAACCATCTCCTGCTCATCCTCTCCCTGTCCCAGGGGCGTGGGGGGCTCGGTTCCATCTTCATCTGGGCTTCTGGCAATGGTGGCATCAATTACGACAACTGCAACTGCGATGGGTACACCAACAGCATCTACACACTGACAGTGGGCAGCGCCTTTGCCAGCGGCCGGCAGCCCCGCTACAGTGAACCCTGTGCCTCCACCCTCACCACCACCTACAGCAGCAGCACCAGCAGCAAAGCACAGATTGTAAGTGCCCCCAACACGGGCAGGAGGAGGCACTTCCATCCGAGTGTCTGTGCTGGGGCACGGAGGGACCAGGGTGCATCTTCCAGCAGGGGACAAAGGTTGAACCCCCACCTTCTTACCCTCCCCAGGTGACCACTGATCTGCACCACCGCTGCACCGACAGACACGCAGGCAGCTCTGCCTCAGCCCCATTGGCTGCAGGAATGGTTGCCCTCGCTCTGGAGGCCAAGTAGGTGCCGGGGGGCTGCCCCCAAAGCTCCCCCCAAAGCAGAGACCTCTTCCCTAACGCCCTCTCCCTCCCAGCCCAGCATTGACCTGGCGTGATGTGCAGCATCTGGTGGTCAGGGCTTCCCGACCCGCTCACCTGCAGGCAGAGGATTGGGCTGTGAACGGGGTCGGGCGCAAGGGTGAGTCTGGATGTTGGCTTTAACCAGTCCCCAGCTCTCAGAGCAGAGGGGGCTCATGTGCCCCCTTCTCCCACATCCCAGTGAGCCACCACTATGGCTACGGGTTGCTGGATGCAGCTCTGCTGGTGGAGCTGGCCCAGGTGTGGGCAGGAACCCGGCCTCAGCAGAGGTGTTCCATCGAAGCTCTCCATGCCGCCCGGTAAGAAACGAGGCCCCCTGGGTCCGACCTCATGCAGGGGTTTTCTTGCAGCAAAGCTGTGCTGCATCTGATGCAGGAACTGCATCCCAGGAGTTGGCTTCTGCTGTCAGTGCAGGGCTGTGGTTAGAGGCAGAGGGCAGGATGCCCACTGAAGGGGGGGTGATGCTCTCACCCCTTCTTGTGCCCATCAGGAACATCGGCTCCAAACTCACCGTGTCTGCAGACACCTCCTCCTGCTCGGGGAGGACCAGGAGCATCCGCTCACTGGAGCACGTCCAGGTGCAGCTCTCATTGAGCTACAGCCGCCGGGGGGACCTGCAGGTTGCACTGAGGAGCCCCATGGGGACCACGTCCACACTGGTGACTGTGCGGTAAGGGCTGTGCCCAGTCCTGGCAGTGCCCTGTTATGCTCAGCTCAGAGTGTCTGCGGAGCCCCTTTGGTCTGCACCACCTGCAGCCCCCCTTCCTGTCTGCCCACAGCCCATACGACACCAGCCAGCAGGGCTACAAGGACTGGACCTTCATGTCCACACATTTCTGGGATGAGAACCCCAACGGGACCTGGACACTGCAGCTGGAGAACAAGGGTGATGCCTACAACACAGGTGGGCACTGGGGGGACAAACCCATCCACCAGTACCACCCAGTGCTTTGTTCCCTCCCCTCCCTTCCCCCTCTTTGGTTGGCATCTGACTGTCCTCTCTCTGCTCCCCTCTGGGCAGAGCCCCTGTGGGATCCCTGTCTCTGTGGGGGCTGTGCTTTGGGGTCTCCCACACAGCCCTATAGAGGGCATTGCAACTTCCAGCCCCACATCCACCACCAAGGACATGGGTTGGGGACGTATGACTGCCACCCAGCACTACATCCTCTTCCTCCCACTACCAGGCATGCTGACCAGCTTCATCCTTCACCTGCATGGCACAGATGAGGACATGATGGCCAGGCACTTCTCAGCCCCCACCATGGGCGAGTGCACCAAGTGGGACGCACAGGGAGCGTGCGAGGGTGAGCGCATCCCTCACCACCACTTCAAGCAGAAGGGGACGATGCTCTCAGTTCCTGATGGCACCAGGTGGCCCCACGTCCCCCCTCACACCTCCATCCCTTTGCAGAGTGCAGTGGCTCCTTCTATGCCCACCAGAGCTCCTGCCTGTCCTACTGCCCACCCCGCTCCTACGGCCGCTCCCGGAGCACCACGCACACATCCCGCACCTGCGCCCGCTGCCACCACTCCTGCTACACGTGCCAGGGCACCTCAGCCAACAACTGCACCTCCTGCCCCGCTGCCCACACCTTTGATGAGCACAGCCACTCCTGCTTCGCTCCGCAGGGTCTCCCCCCCCAGGAAGGGAAGTACAGGAACCTCCTCCCCATCGTCCTCCTGCTCTGCGAGAGCGCGATCCTCTTTGCCATGCTGTCCTGTGTGTTCCGTACTGCGTGGCTATGCGTGCTGGCTGGCTGTGCAGGTCGCTGCTGGGCTGGGGGAAAGTGACACCAGCCTGGCCCACAAGCATCCGTACCCCTCTTCAAAATAAACCCCCTATTGTCTTTATGGGCTGCTCCCACCCAGCTCCCAGCTGCTCCACATGTGGATACGGACACAGCGATGGCTGCTGTCCCCTTCTGCCTCATCCCTGCACCCCCAGGATTGGGGCAGTGCTGGACACAGCCCTGGTTCATCGAGGTGATGTCCAGAGGGAGCAGAGCACGGACCTCACGGCCTTTCCCAGGCACAGAGGGGTGGGGAGGAGACGTGATGTCCCTCCAAACAGCTGCACCCAAGTAAACACATCTTGTGATGGAAGGGCGAAAAGCCCACATCTGGGTAGGGAGCAGGAGCTGGGTGCTGTGTTGCTGCTTGGAGAGAACAGCCCTGATCTGTGCTGCAGTGCTGGCACATGGTTCAGCCTTTAGCAACGTGCCTGGGGCCACTGCACACAGCAGTGCCCTGTGTCCCAGCAGCACAGCACAGCTGTGCCCCAGCACGCAGCACGGCGCCGGGCTGGGACAGCGTGGGGACTGCTGCCAGCAGGGGCCCTCCTGGGGACATCACTGCCAAATGGGAGTCAGACACCACTGCAGGACACGGGCACGGAGCAGAGAAGTGGAGCAGCATTGCTGGGTGTTGGCTGTGACCCATTGCTGGGTCAGTCCCGTACCTGCTGTGCCATCCCCAGACTCGGCGTGTTTGCACAGCTGGGGCACACTTGGATGTCACCGAGGAGAGAAAGACCTTTGTCCAAGCATGCAATCACCAGGAAGCTGCGTTTCCATCACAGCACTGCCTGCAGCTGTGCTGGCCCCCAGCCTGGCGAGATTCAGGGACCCTCCCTAGGGGTCTCTCCTCCCCCCCCCCCCCATGGCCTGTTCCATCCCCACGTGCAGCCTGCAGTGCAGAACTGACACTGAGCACGTCGTGCTGGGGGAGAGAGGTGGGAATGGGGAGGGCTGTGTGTGTCCAAGAGCAGCCCCGACTCATACAGCCCCATCCCACATCCCAACCCCACCGTGCACCAGAGCTGTCCCAGGAGCAGGGGGGGTTCTCCCACAGCTCGGTGCTGGGCCCCATTGGCAGCCTCCTGAGCAAGGAGAGCAGCTGGGCTCCAGCACAACCAGCATATGAGCACAGTTCTGCCTCATGGCAGTGGCGATGAAGAAACGGAGAACAGCAAAGCTCCTGAGCACACAGCCCAAACCCCCCAGACAGCAGTGTGGGGAGAGACCCCCAACACAGGGGTCCAAAGGGGACGGCACAGAACTGCCCAGCACTGCTCACTGCCTGGAGATTTCCCCCTCCAAGAGCAAAGCAGCCCCCTGTGCCCAGGGACAAGCCCTGCTGGGTGGAAGGAGCACTTTTATTGGGCACCAGCATCTTCCTGCCCCTATCCACTGCAGGGTGCCTCACCTGTGCTCCGAATCACCCGGCACCACCTAGGTTGATCCCAACACCCTGTGCCCATGGTGTGACTTTCTCTGGGGTGTGTGGCACAGCGTCGGGGTGTCCCCATCCCCGTCCCCATCTGTGGGCCCCGTGGGATGCAGCCAGAGCACGGCTTGGGTTACGGCACAGCGACGGACCCGCGCCTCCGCCGGAAGGGAGATAAGCGGAGGTCCCGGCCCGGAGAGGCACAGCCTGGCAGGTGGCCATGTGGGGATGGGCACGGGGATGTGCTGCTCGGGGGGCTCAGTGTGGGGACATGGGACAGCACCATGGAGTGTGGACACACTGGGTTTATCCCAGCCTGGAAAGGGCTACACAGCAAGCGAGCGATAGATAGGTTTATTTTCTGCAAAAATAATAAATTACCACTCCCCTCCACCACCCCCCATGGCCATGCCGAGGGCTGCTGAGGTCCCAGAGCACAGCAGGAAGGATCCCATCCGCCCATCCCCCTCCTAGGATCCCCCATCCCTGCAGCCTCATTGCAGGTGGGCACAGTGCCGTTCCGCGTCCCGCACCGCGCGCTCCTCGCGGGGTGACCACGGCCGTGCGTAGCCGTCACGCTGCAGCAGGATGCGGTTCAACGTGTGCTCGTAGTTGACGTGCCGCCGTGCCATCAGCACGTATTCGTGGCCCCCCAGCAGCGTGGGGCAGCCACACGTGTCGGGCACCCAGACGTACTCCCGCGGTACCATGGGGAAGCGGTGCCGGTACGGCGTCACCACCTGCACCTCGTAGCGCATCTCCTGCCCCACCGAGCGCCGTGCCAGGATCCGTGCTCGGAAAACTGCAGGGTGGGAGTGGGGTGCACTGAGTGGGGCATCACGCCAGGTGTTGCCCCCTCTGCCCTGCCCCCCGCCTGCTGCTGCTCACCGAAGTCACTCTGGCAGAAGTGCCGGATGCGCTGGGAGCGTCCCTTGGGTGGGCGGCACCGCCCGCATCGCCCTGCGGGGACGAAGGCTGGGATGTGGCACCCAAACCCCCCCGTGGACCATAACCCATAAGGAGAGAGGGGGAATTTCTGGACTCCAGCACACAGCCCAGGGGTGTGGGAGGATGTGGGAGGTCACCTGCAGCAGCTCTGACCCCAGGGGGGCTTCGCGGTGGCAGTGGCTCTGTGATGGGGTCCCAGGCCCTGGGTGGCAGTGTGGGAAGTGGGGGCTCAGCGGGTGGGGGGCTGCCGGCCCCACGGGGCTGGGGCTGCCGCAGGGCACTGGTGTCCACCGTGCTGTGCTGGGGATGCCCACGGGGCAGCCAGAACTCATACTCAATGCCTGGGTTGGGCTCCTGCAGCAGCACCTGTGTGTTCAGGGGCAGAGCTAAGGAAATCGTTGGGACTGGGGGCAGCTGCCCGCATCCCCACACTGTCCTGCTCCCCACCAGCACATGGAGGTCCTCATCTGTGGGTCCTGGTGCCTCCAGACTCTCGGTGCCATCAGGGCTGCGGGCGTAGAGCAGCTGTGTGCCAGCTGCCTCGTAGGGCCCCGGCCAGGCGATGGACCAGTCCCCATTGAGCACGTAGCGTCCGTCGCTCCCCATCAGGGCTGTGGGAAGGAGCACATCTGGGCTGAGCCACGCATGGCCCAGGTCCGGCACACCAGGCTGGGCTGGGAGGGGGCACCGAGCCCCCATTGAGGGCAGCACTGTGTGTGGGGTGTGGGGGAGAGTTAAATCCATGGCAGATTTGGACCAAGTCCCATGGCACAGCTGGATCCCAAGGGCAGAGCTCCCCAGTCCCCCAGGTCCCGTAGTGGCCCTGCACTGGCCAAAACTCACAGCCACCACCTCTGGAAGTGCCCTGAGATGGGGAGTGTTGCATTCAGAGTGGGGGGGAGTGGTGCTGCACAGTTGCCCATGGCCATAGGATGGAATGGGATGGACTGGGACGGGGACAGAACACGTCCTACCAAGGAAGTTGCGGCTCTTATCCGTCACCTTGATGTTGGTGGCTCCAGCGGGAATCTTGGTCACATTCATGTACCCAAAATGACCTGAAGGTGGGCAGGGAGTCAGGGCAGAATGTGGCCTGAGGGGATATCATGGGGACAGGAGGGCCAGAGCTGGGACACCCACAGGGTGAGTGAGGAGAAGTGGGAGGGGGGGTGGGCAGTGGGGCACCCCCCTGGCATTGACCCTGCCTGACCCCATGCACTGGGACAAGAAGATCATGCGTGGCCATCTCCATTCCCACAGCACAGCCAGGACCCCAAAAGGGGACATGGACTGCATGGGCCCTGGGTGCATCCTGGAGACCCCTGAACAGCTCTGGGGACCACCAGACCGTAGCAACACCCCAGAGGTGATGGAGGTTGCAGGGAATGCAGGCAGGGGACGGGGGGGGACAGGGGAGCCAAGAGCCAAAGCATTCACCCATGGAGGGGCCGGGGCAATGTTCATTCACCGGAGAAGGGCTCCGTGTCCTGGAAGAGCCGGTGCACAAAGAGGCACCCATCCTGCCCGCCACCGCACCGGCTGCAGGCACGGGTCTGTGCACCCATGCCTAGGATCCCATCACAGCCAACGCTCTGCAGGAGCAGAGATGTGGTGTCAGAGCAGGGATAGGGACCAGTGCCAAGGGTCCCATCCCCACACACACCCACCAGGCAGCGCCCACCGACGCACAGATCCGTGGAGCCAGGCCTGCAGCGGGTGCCATCCAGCACGCGGCCAAAGGTGTAGTAGAAGTTGTGCCCCACAGCCAAGCAGTTGAGGTCACACACGTTGGGGGCTGCGGAGCCAGAGGGAAGGAGGGGACACCAGTGGTGGGGGCATCAGGGCCCCCGGCGGTGCCCCCACGCCCTTGGGCTCACCTCCATAGAAGGGCACCCAGCGGTGCCGGGTCTGCATGCCCCGCACGGGTTTGTCGTCATATAGGGAGCACTGCATGGCACGGAACGGCACCGAGCTGCCAGGGCAGCCCTGTGGGGATGGCACAATGGGGCAATAGGGTCTGGAACGTGGAAACCCACAGTGCCATGCTGTGCTGTGCTGTGCTGCACCATGGATGCTCACCTGCAGCTGGCAGAGCCGGTACTGCCGCTGGTCCCCTGTGCACGGCTCCTCCTCGGCAGAGCTGCAGCACATCAGCAGCAGGGTTAGCGTTGGGGTTAGCGTTATGGTTAGGATTAAGGCAGCCCCATGCAGCCCTGTGACTCCATGGAGACTTCTTGTGGGGCTGGGATGCTCCAACTGTGCTGGGAGTGATGCACAAACGAGAGCAGAACCACAGCGTCCCATACGGGGCTGCTGTGTCCCACATCTCCTCATGTGGACAGCCAAATCCGAAACCTGCTACCTCCCCCATTCCTCCCACTCTAAAACCATGCTGAACCATCGTGTGGGATGGTGCCCAGGTGCTGAGGGGTTCTGAGCATGGAGACACACCAGGGGCTGCGCTGCCCTCCCCGCTCACCGCAGACACCTCCGGGTGCGGAACGCAACGCCGTCCCCGCAGGAGCTGGAGCAGACACTCCATGGCCCCCACGGCCCCCACGCACCCTGGGCTGGCTGCCGGCGGGGCCGAGTGTGGGTGGGGGGCTCAGAATCCCACCTTGCTCCTCCTGGGGCTGGGACCTGCATGGAGGAAGGGGACAATCATGGCTGGGGCTGATGTGTGGCTGGAGCAGCCCGGTGCCCCCAACCCTCACCTGTGCGGTGCTGATGCCACAGCTCAGGCTGAGCCAGGCCAGGAGCAGCGCCCGCCACGGCCACCAGCACCTGTGGAGCAGAGACACTGAGGGTACCCCACAACTACTGTGGTGCCACTGATGGGGTGGACACTATAGGCACCCCAAGTTGAGATGGTATAGGAAGGTCCCAGGGGCGTGGGATGTGTCCTAAACGGTGTCACCGAGGTGGGTGCAGCCCCATAGGCGATGCCATCACCCCTATGGCACTGTGCTCAGCACAGCTCTGCGCACCTCACACGGCCCCACACATCACATTGCCTGCAGGACTGGCGGTGCAGGATGGGACCTGCGTGGTGGAGGCGGTGGTGCAGCCGTGACTCAGTGTCCCTCCCTGCGCCTGGATCCGGATCTGCCCTCTGTGAGCAATGCAGGGGGTGCCAGAGGGCTGCTCTTTGTCCCCTCCCCGCAGTGCCTGACCCCAAGCACCCCACTGCCCACAAAAACTCATTTTCCCGTGGCCCTAAACCACCGCACGACCTCAAACCACCCCACATCCGCAAAACCACCCCATGGTCCCCAAAGCACCCCGCAGCCCCACCCCACCCAGCAAAGGGGTGCGGGGGCCCCAGCCCTGCAGCAGGGACAGGGCCATTCCTGGGAATCCCCTGGCTGAGCCGGTTTCCTCCCACCCCGCTGCACCCACAGGGACCCGGGTCTCTGGAGGCACAAATCCCCTCCTTGCACCCCAGCACCACACGGGCAGCAGCAGCACAGCCAGACCCCCCCACACCCCCAATTTTCCCATGGGGGCCAGGGGCAGCCCATGGGGGCAGAGGGGTCAGCAGTGATGCTCAAGCCCAGCATGGTGCAGGAGGGCACCACGTGCCTCAGTTTCCCTGGGGTAAAGCAAAGCTCTGCGTGCCCATGGGGCAGCGGGGGGGGGGTCCCACAGCCCACCTCCCCCCAGCAGGGTGGGCAGAGAGCTACGAGAGATTCAGCAGAACGCAGGGCTTACCCGGCACCGTGGGGTCCCCCGGGGTGGGCACGGGGTGCCAGGTCGTCCCGCCGCCCTATTACAGCCATGCTGCAGCACCAGCACCCAGGGGTGCACTCTGGGTTGTCTGTCCCGACCCAGAGGTCCCGCTATGGGGCTGGGCAAACCGGGGGCAGCTCAGGACCCCCCCGGCCGAGCGGGCATCGCGTGTGCAGCTCCTGGGGCGGGCGGCTGCGCTCCCCTCCCGCTCGCCTCCCGTCCCTCCCCGCTGCGTTATTAATATCCAGCCCCAAAGGTGCGCCCAGCCCTCCCCAATCTCTTGCTTAACCCTTGGGGGCCCGCGGTGCACCGAGCTGCGGGGGAGGTTCAGCCCTGGGGGGGGGGGGGGNGGGGGCTAAGATGGGGGAGGGGGGTGAACGCGACCCCAAGTCTGACTTCAGCCTCAACACTGTGGGGTGACAATGGGGTCCGGTGCTGCTGGAGTTTGTATGACCAAAGGGGGGTGGGGGAGGGAGGGCGTCTGTTCCTGGCACCTCGCTGTGCCCCCCCACTCAGAGATGGTCCCCCCCCCCCCTCTCGGGGTCTCCTCACCCATTGGCATCACACACGCACCAGCACAGCCCAGTGTGGCACACAGGGAGTTAAGGGCTTAGGATGTCCCTGGGGGGGCCACAGCTGCCGCCAGCTCCATACTGGCTGCTGGCCAATCCCCCCCCCCC